TCTTGCCTTACAAATCTTTTGACATTCTTTGTAAAGGTTACTGCTTATGTAGATGAGGGTAAGGATGCAGATTTAGTGTATCTGGATTTTCAGAAAGCATTTGACAAAGTGCCACGTTAAAGGCTTGTAAAAAGAATTATCTCTATAGGTGTGGGGTATAAGTTAGCAAATTGGGTAAAAGAGTAGCTGGGTGGAAGAAAGCAGAGGGTTGTTACAAATGGAGTTCAGTCAAACTAGATTAATGTCACAAGTGGGGTACCTCAGGGTTCAGTCTTAGGACCTTTGCTCTTTTTTGATTTACATCAATGACATAGATGAAGGAATGGTCAATAATTGACTTAAATTTGCAGATCATATTAAGGTCTTATTGTTGCTAGCTGTGAAGAGGATACTGCTGATTTACAAAAGAATTTAGATCATTTAGTGAGTTTTGATTATAATAAATGCAAGATAATGCATGTGGGTTATCATTATATGAATTATAAGTATATCTTGGATGGGAAAAACCTTAACAGTGTTATGAAGGAAAGGGATCTTAGTGTAATAGTCAGTCTCTAAAGCCATCCAAGCAGTGTGCTGTTGCTAGTGGTAGGGTAAATAGGATTTTAGGTTAAATCTACAGAAGTAGTGAATACAAGTTTAAGGATGTTATGATTTCATTGTACAGCTCACTGGTTAGACCACATTTGGAATATTGTGTTCAGTCTTGGCTCCTTACCTTGGAAAGACATTGAATTGTTTGAAAGGGTTCAGAGAATGGTGCCTGGGATGGAGGGGTTTTCATACAAGGAGAGGCTGAAATCTCTCAAACTGTTTTCTCTTCAAAAAAAGAAGAGTTAGGGGGGATCTGATTAAGGTGTTTAAGATTGTAAAGGGAATTGATAGTGTTGATGCAATATTTTTTTCATATTTAACAGTGAGAATAGTAGGACTAGGGGGCACAAATATCTCAATTATTTACTGCTTCTTCATAGAACTTAAAACATATCAAGAAAAGGCTTGATAGTAATAAACTGAATTTTGTTTAAATAACAGTTTCTTCAAAAGAATTGTTTCAGTACATCATCTGAAGTGATAGCATTACTGAATAAAAAAAAATGTGCTGAGCATCTGGTATATATTATTTATTTAGAACATTTGACTCATATTCTTAAAGTTTATTGCAGAGGCCTTTATTTTGTGTACAATAAATGTTGAGTTAAATAATTTTGAGCACTGATGGTTTTGAATAGTTAATGGTTCGGAAAATGTTAAGTAGCTATACTTATTTTGTAATTTCAATGTGATATTTCAAATATTGCATAATTTTTTAATATTCAGGATTCTAGCCTGCACTTTCAAGATGAAGAAAAAAGCAGAACTGCTATAATGGTAGGTGAATCCATATCAAAATTTACCTGAATATTATTGTAAATATTAGGAACCTTATGTCCGCCATTTTTCATCCATCAAAAATGTTGATGGTAAAATGAAATGAATGTATAAAGCAGTTAAAAAAATGCAGTGCACCATTGTAGGTGTTATATAATTATATACATTTAAGCTACATTTGCTGATTAAATTGCTGTATATTCTGGGAGAGGATGGTACACAACCCAGCTACATTCTTTCAAATTGACAATATGGTGTGAATGCATGTCTGTTGTTTCAGTTTCTGTCATTTGAGAATATTGATAGGTGTGGCCACTTTTTTATATGTTTTCTAATTTTGTTAAAAGTTGGGACATTTGCAAGTAAGTTATATATGTTTTCAGTGGGAACTACAAAACTCTCACAGAATTATATAATTTTAAGGTATATTAACAACACAATAAACTAAATAATATTTGTGTTGAAGTACTGCCATGATGGTGTATTTAAATAATTAGATTACTATATACATATCTAATTCACAAATAATTCATACTATCTTACATGTGTAAAAAGGCATTATTTAAATGTTTGACATGGTAAAACAAAATTGTTAAGTGGATAAGAAATATATTTTTTAATTTTTACTACTGCCAAAATCATTTGAACAAAAGAAGCTCTAAGACTGATACATTAAGCATAGGACTCTACATCATATGAATAAAACTAAATCCTGAAAAACCTTAACTTGTCATTTTAATGGAGGATAATTAAAATTTGAGTCAGGCCACATATTAGGATTCAGTAGTGTTTATTTCCCACATCCCAATTTAAGATATGTTTATTACTGGAAACATTCATTGGCTATTAAGATTACCTGTCAGTAATTTTTATCAGAATCAAGAAGAAAATTAGATAATTTAGATAAAATATTTTGTTAACATTTTCATTTTTTAGTAGTATTAACTCCTAATGATATTTGATTGACCAGATTTGAATTTTCACTGTTTGTTTATCTGATCAAACCCCGACATTTGATATTCGAAATCATAAACCTCCTACTGGTAGCTGAGTGACCAGATTTGAATTGCCACTGTTTGCAATGTTTATCTTGACCAAACCCTTAATATTTAATACATTAAATTACTGAGAACTTTTCAGTGCAGCAAAAACTTGTGTATGTAATGCAGAAAAGCAACATTATGTAGTTTATGCTAGTTCTTTTAACTGGCTTCAGTATGACTTTACATAAAATGAAACATATCAGTATATCAAGCCACAGCTTGATTTTTATGTTTGTTTTTTTCCAGTACTTTCCTTTTTTTTTAATATACACTGTAGTAAATTATTTAATTTCTGCAATATCATAACATTCACTAATTGAGTTTACACGTTGTTATATTATCTGAATACCTTATAAGATATCTGCATATCTTTTGTTTTTGGCTTAGGAATCTTTGCTTAAGCACGTACAACAACAAAAGTTTTGAGTATGACAATTATTTAGTTAACAATAATGGTATTTATATCTGCCTTATTTTGCATTGGAAAATATTTTTTTCTTCAATTAAAGAACTTTGTTTCTTAAAAGGTAAATCTTGGTTACTTGGTTATCTGTTTTCAGACATATTTTTATTGATATTTTAACAAATCCATCGGTGAAAAGAACCAACATAGTGTTCTAATGTTGGAGATGATAGTCAAATACTGTATGGATATAATGATCTTAGCAGTGTTTTCTGTAAGAAAAAATAAAGGTTGATGTGGTCTTTCATCATTTCAGATAGATGACCAAAACAGCCTTAATGCTTCACCACCCCCATACTCCCAAGTACCAGGAACTGTGCCTATTCATCAAGGAAGAGGGTCAGGCCCACCACCCTCTTATGATGAAGTTGTCAACCCTAATGGTAAAGCACCTTGATGGTGACACTATGAAGTTTTTTATGAAGCTGTAAAGTTTACTGATGAGACATCTTGAAGAAGAGTAAATAAAGAGTAAACTTTATTACATATACTGTCAAACCTAAACTATATAGAAGAGTAATTGGTTAAAAGTCACTTTTAAACTGAATAAATCCATTAAATATAGGGCTCAAATCTTTTATTTGTTCATTGAGCAGTAGGTACATATTGTACATTGCCCTAAAAAAACCTTCTGCATGTCCCTATTAGGCCTGCTTGTATTTCCCAAAGTAAAGTTAATTTTTTCTTCGAAATATATTATCACCATTAAACCTTATGCCTAGACTTAATTTTCACATTCATTAACATCAACTTCCTGAGACGTATAGCCTTTGTTATGGGTAAAACAAAAATTACTGTGGATATAACTTTCAGACTCTATAGACTTTAAAGTTTGATTCTTTAGGATGAAAAACAAAATCCTTTGATTGGTTATATTAATATTTCTGGTGACCACAACTTTGATTCATATCTTGACAACCAAAAGTAAAATCCTTAATAACCAACCTTTCAAAAGTTTGTCAAAAACAGCAAATAAAAAGGTTACTTGGTGATAAAAATATTTTAATGAAAAAAAGACAGATGCCACACTAAAGGTGGAATTCATGAAGTTGAACAAGAACAATTTTGTCTAATTCTGAAATCAGTTTGTTCAACTTCTGTTCTGAATTTATAGCTGAGAGTAATTTGAGGATGATTTTTGTGTGCTTTCCGATGAAATTTTTATATTACAAAGTTTCAGACAGTGTTTACATTGGTTAAATCAACGTGAAGATGTGCTTTTTTATTGAATAATAATAATCATTACCATCCAGACTTGTATTTTCTAGTATTGTAATTACAGTTTATCATTTATTTTTAATATTAGAACATAGATCAACTGTGTTACCTGTAGGTTGCTGCCATGTTAGAACAGTTTGTAACTGCTCATCAAGCAGACCAGACTGTTCAAGTGAACAAGCAGAATGCATTCCAGAGCAGGAAGATGTAACAATTTTGTGAAATCAAATAGTCCATATCCATTTGGTCTTCTGGAATTACCTCTTAAAATTTGGCTGTTGGATAAGAAAATGTGACAGTACTTCATTGTATCAGGTCTGCTATTTTAATGAACACTGAAAAACAAATATCATCGAATTGACACAACATTGCAGCATTGCAGTACGTGTTTCAAACATTTTGTACCAGTAATGTAACGACATGTTATGTAAAACAATTAAACTGAGTAGTTATATGTTTCTTGTAAAATGTAGCTCCTCCACCTACCTACCAGTCTTTGTTTGGTCAAGTTCGAGAAGCAAGGAAGAACTCAAATGGAGTTTTGGACTTTATTCGAAAGGTCATAGTGCTGATACTAGGAACACGTAAGCTGGAGAGTTTTCTTATTTTAAATTTTCTAGATGCCTTCAAATGTAACACAATATTATAAACAGGTTTGAGTAAATTACTGTATGCAGCATCTTGTAACATCTGTTTTCTCCAGAAGTTTACAGTTAAGCAAAAAATGAGATAATAATTATTTTAATATTTTGTTCGGGCATCTGAATAATCAATTTTAGCTAAAACGTGTTTTACATAAAACAAACTTGTTCAATGGGTCAAAAATGTTTTTTATATTCATTTGTTCTCATTTAATCAAATAAGATACAAGTTTTGTCTTGGGCTAAGCTTCCAAACATATTTCATTGTTCAGAAAAGTAACTGAAAGTTAGAAAAGCAGAACTTAGTAGTTGAACTCGACTTCTAAGATATTAAAAGTAGCAGACTAAAGTTTTATCCATTAGGAGTGAAACCACAAAACACTAATTCCCGAAAGAATCTGTGCTGTTAAAGAGTTTCTTGGATTTGTGACATGTAACAACAACTTATCAGTAAAACAAAAATAAGAAACTTGACCAATATGAATCAGTTACTACACTAATTGAGTAGTTTTACTCTGAAACATATTTATTTTTGAGTTATTAGGATTTGTAATATTTGATTTCAATAAATAAAGCCAAATTTGTTAGAAATTTAATGGGTTATATTATTTGCTTTCCTTTTGTCTGATTTTAATAATATTAGAGTTTGAAGGAAAAGAATAGGCTTTGTCACGAAAACAAAATTATCCCTTGAATTTTCTTTGTAACATATTTTAAGTGCAAATGCTTAGTTAGTCACTTAAGTTAATCTAACAATATACAAGATACCTGTGATTAGCAGAATTGTGTGTAGCATGTTTAATTCATACATTTTACATCTAAGAAATAGTCTTATAAAAAGAAATTATAAAATGATGTAAAATTATTTAATTAGTTTTTCACAAAATATAAAAAGTATTCATTGAATATTTCAAGTTTGAGTAATTATTAATAAAAAAAGTTAAATAAAGTCACGTGAGTGTAAACCAGTGGTAAACTGTTGATTCTGTACTAATTATAAGTGTTTATACAAAGCAAGTACTGTACCCAAATTGTTGTAGACATACGGTTCTAAAATGAAACAAATAAAGCAAATGAAAGAGGTTTAAGTATACATGTACAAAAGATACAAATAAGATATTTTAATGAAACCTAAGAAATGAATATAAAAGTGCCATACAACAGTATGGAGATTGTAAAGATAATTCATCCCATGTAAACCTTAGTATTCAAATTCGATGACGAGGAACCCACTTTGAGACTAATAATGGCTGGAGACGGCTTAAATGGGTAATGAAGAAAAACTTTAATATAAGTTTAACATGACAGCAAATGTACAACGTTTCGACAAGGTTTTGTCATCATAGTATGTTCTCAGAGAAACTTGATCTGATCATGATAAGTGTCTTCAATCAGTACAGCCTTCCAGTGGCTCAGTGTTATGTGTGTAGACTTATAATGCTAAAAACTGGGTTTCAATACTCGTGGTGGACACAGCACAAATAGCCTGTTGTGTAGCTTTGTGCTTAACTACAAACAAACAAAACAATTGACCAGTGTATGCAAAGTTTCTGTAATGGAAGTTAATATCCATTGAATATAACTTAAACACATGTTCAATATAGTACTGATATTTCAGAACATAAAATGATCTTCATTTTTATTAATACATACATGTATAATTAATTTTATTATGATTTAAAAAGTGACATTTGAAATTTCGCTGTATACACCTATTCCTCACAGACATATTTAGCAGGAAGCAACTTTACAGAAGCTTCACAGTTTCATGTGATATGATCAACAGATTGTGTTTTTGTATCAAATTAAGTTTTACAATTTAAACTGAAAACAAGTTTCTCCATGAGAATATTAAAACAAGATTCCACTGGTTAAACTGAACTTCAATACAATACATATGATTGAAAGTGCTTTTAAAAACATCATTTAATCATTAACAGGTTTCCAAGAGTTGTGTGAAAGCTACTAAAAGCTGTCATAATTTTAGTTCTGAAACTGGTGAATGTAAACATTCAATACAATAATTTAATCCTATAAATACTACCTTGTGTTGCAGACTTTGCTAGGAAACATTTATTTTCAAAAACCCTTTATTTATATATTTATATATATGTATATCCTGAAGCAGTGTGTGTAAAACATTTTTTTATAATCTTACTGTAGCGAATTTCAACCAATTTTAAATGGTAAAAATTAAAGGTTGCATTTCACATTTTGATTGATTTCTTTCACTGTAAAACATGTTACAATGAATACTTGTAAAACCTTGTCACATCACACAGTCATTATTATTTAATTTATGGTGTAGTGAAATAAGTATAATGAAAATGTACTTAAAACTAATTATATTCTTTTAATTTAGGCATTTGATGTGTTATTAATAATTTTATACACCTATACCTATTGTATTTAGGCATTATACATGTGAAGTTTTGTGCACTTAAAACCAGTGGAATGAAAGGTGATAATGATTAATTAATTGTACATTTACCAAATGTGGGAGTTACTTTTTTATAGATCTCATAGTATTATGTACAATTATAAGACATGAAATGTTTTTCACAGTTTTTTATGCTTTTTTTTACTTCTAGTTGGATGCTCAGTGGTTATTGGAATTACTGTAGTAATTCCATTCTCAATGATCATCATCGGTAAGCTTCTAATATTTTTTATATAAAATATTGTGAACAACTTAAAAGAAAAAAGGTTAAGAGGAATTGTAGTAGTAAATATGCATATGTAAATGCAATTTTTGTCTTGTATTAAACATAAATTGGTGTTTAAGAAAGCATTATTAGGATTTTTTGTTTTGGATAAACAACACGATAAGATTATATTTTGTGTTTCAAAAGGTTAACACAAAATGATGGTTCTGGTTCCATTAGACATTTGCTTATATATCAGTTTGTGAAATTATAGAAATGTTGTGAAGGAGTTATATAACTACATTTTAGATTTTTAAAAAATTCAAAATTGAGGTAGTATTACAACCATACATTAGGTTACCTCAGTTAACTGTGGCGTAACTGAAAAAATGTAATCAAAATATAAAGAGAAGAAAGTTCATTAAATATATTTGTTGATATATTCCCAAGTTTTTTGGTACTACATGTATTCTTTTAGTAACAAAACTTCTTGAATGTTGTAACAAATAACATTTCTTCGTTTGATGAACAACTAAGTGACTGTTACTTAGCATACCTTTGTAAGTGTAAAATGTGGAGTTAATGATCCTTTTCAATGTATAGGAAGTTGCCAATGTAGAGACTTTTACAATAACTACAATGTGCATAGTAAGTAGAGCCAAAGGAGTCAGCTTTTGTTTTTATGATAATGCTATGATGTAATTATTTACCTATTAAAAAGTTAGTTTAATCTTATTGGTTAGCATGCTCGGACTATAAATCAAAGGATTTATGTTTTGTGGCACATTGCTACAAAAATATGCTCCACACAAAAATGATGATCAAATCCCACTATTCAATTAGACAAGAATTAATAATGGAAGTTGTTGACTAACTGTCTTCCCTCATTTCAAAATTAGGGACAGCTGTGGACAGGTATAGAAAGAATACAAATAAAGATTAGAAAGACGTTGTTTAATATAGTGTATATTTAAAATACCTAATATTAAGTATAAAAGAAGTTATTTCATCTTTCTTTATAAATGAGATATGTATAGTGAAATACTTACTGTGTTTAAAGGTGATTATTATATGCTAATAAGTGTTTTATTTGTAAGTTGTCCAAAAGATAAATGTTTCAAAATAATCAAAACAAATACATCTGACTGATACAAATAGCATTCTTAGTGATCTCTAGTTTAGACTCTGTAACTTAAATCCTAATGAAATGTGCAATATGGAAAGAGGGAAGGTTATTTTTTATACAGAGATATGGAATAGGATTGTTTTTAGCCATAAGAACATTGGTTTTATACACAAACACTGAGGAGGGAGGATGGGAACTTATGTAGTTATAAGAACATCAGTTTTAATACACAAACACCTGGCATTTATTCCCAAGGTCTAAATTTGCTTTAATGATGTGTGTATATATATAAAGTACTTTACAAGAAGATGAGCTTTCCTAGAAAAAAAAATTAAGCCAAATCATCATTCTTATGTTAATCAAACTTATCACATTGTCACCTTATTCTAATGGACATTTTAAAATGTTGAACCACAGTTCTGTATGTTCTGGTGTGTCACACATTCATTTGTTTAAGGTCATTGGTTGTACTGTATCACCGGATGCACTAAGACCTTGTAAGCTTCTCACCAGAAATTGGGGTTTCATGTTAACAAGAATTATTATTACATGCTAACATAATAAGATGATTGTTTTAGTTTTTGCTTTACAATTTTTAGGATCATCTTATATTGATGCCTGTCCAGCAGAAAATAAAATTCCGATATACCTTATTGTGGCTGGTGTGTTTGGGGTTTTGAAGAACATCCTGAATTTCTGGTCAAGGTGTAGAAGGACTGATGAAGAAGACCAGCTTAAACAGAATCCTCGAGATACCATTTTAAACTGTTTCCTTTTTGCATGGTTTATAGCAGGTAATAGTTTGACAATGGTGTCTTTATTATATTATTATGGTGTGAAGTTAATACTGGTGTGAAATGTTTGTCATAGTTTATAACATAAAAAGATGCCAAGAGAGAAATCTGAAATTCTACCAGATCATTTGAAAAGTGGAAGAAAAGTTAAAATAAAGCAGGATGGTTAAGATAAATGACTGATATTTGGAAACCACAATTTCATAAAATTCATAAGCACTTCTCTAAATCAAAACTGGAAAGACATCCATCTTTCATGATAACAAAAATTGCAATGTACCAAGTTTCTATAAAAAACTATTCTTGGTTATATGTACATAAGAAATAAATTACACTCAAGTTTTATGTTGAAACTAATCAAAAGAAGTAAAACTTAGTAGCTCTAGAAGACCTACTTGTTCTACATAGTGAAGTAAAGTGAAATAGCATATTGCTAGGTTACTATTATTAAATTAATTTCATAAAAAAAAAAACAGTTAAAGAAGCTAAAAAGAGTACTTCTTGCTCTATTGTCACAGTTCTCTAGTACTATTATTTCTTTCCAAACATAATTTTAGTAATTCTGACATTTAAAAACAACTATTTATGTTTTCACCAATGTCATTAGTTTATCTATACTGTTTGCAGAAAGTCGTGAAAGTGGAAATGCACTCTTATCAATTTTATGAGATAACAAAAATTCTATTTTATGCAAGAGCACTTCAATTTTTTGTGTTAAAAACTACAAACCTTGTCATGTGTAAAAAATGAATTCTCCCTTTTTTCAAAACTTAATTTTCAAAGTGTTTTTCTTTTCGTGTGTACATAACTTTTCTGAGTGTGAGGTTTTCAATAATTTTATACATGATGTTTAGAAACACATAGGTTCATAAAATCAATTTAATACAAAGATATGATACCCTGTAATCTGAGCTCTTTCAAAAGGTGGACCTTTCTTTTTCAAGGGCAAACTGGGAAGTTTGAATAATTGAAGTTATCTCTTACTATACACCAATGAAAAGCTAGAAGTCACTTTCTCTAACCATAACAGATTTCATAAGATCATCAAGATTAATTGTTTTAGATAGTAATAGCTATTTTTGTCATTTGTATTTCTAGTTCACAATCATTTTTTTGAGAATTTTAAAGCCACAATTACCTTCAAGCTGTTCCTAGCAGATATGCTTCTTTTTTCACCTTTTTAATATAAAAAAACCTTAAATTGGAATTTTTCATTATTTTGTGGTGAGCCAGGCATGATGTAGTGGTTAAGGTTCCAGACTATGATTCTGAGGGTCCATGTTTTGCATACTGTTGCCACATAAAAAATTAAAATAATTTTTCTCTGTACTTTGAGATCATGAATGTATTATAAGAGTGATACTCAAATTAGGCGTGATTTAATGGATTTCTATCATTTCTATTGTCAGACTGGCCATCCACCCATTTTGTACCAACTTGGTGAGAAAAATGTTGAAGTGGGGTACTGGGGCTGGAAATAAAAATACTAGTGATAGTAGGTTTGATCCAAGATTGTCTTGTCCGCTTTGATGTTTGTGTTAAACCAAAATAAGTATTTGAGGCTTGTTTCATTTTAGCTGGCTGATTGATTAAAAAAAAAAACCCTCAAATATCAAAATACCTTTTAAAGCTGAAGGTCCCAAACACCTAGGAAATGCACAAACTCTTTAAGGTGCAATGGTAGATGTTCAGAAATTATCACCACAGTGATAGGCTTTAAATATTTAGCCATCTGTTATAATGGGGTGCACTTTTTGCCTATTTGTGTAGAATTACATAGAATAGACATTTCTTTTGTCAAACATATTTTTATTTGTGAAACTGTTTAGATGGAATTTAAATTGGACACTAACAAGAATGATTTTGGGGGAGCAGATACTTCGCAAAATTTTCAAAATTATTTTGTAATTAAGCACTTTTTATTACAAACGAAAACATTATAAATGTATTAAATGTTGCAGATTCAAAAATTATTTTCAGCCTCATAAGTTATATTATCCTTGTGCATTGAATCTGGTCATGTATTAAAATACCGAATATATAGATCTCATAAAGTATTTCATTCATTTTATAACAATGTTTAGCATATATTTTTAAGTAATAATGCTTGCTATTAAAAACTTTAAAGTGATTCATTTCAGTTAAATTTTGGGACATTGTAAGACATCTTTACATTTAAGTGCAAGTCAAAAGCTTCTGTTCCTCAGATTTCATAAAATAAAAAAAGAGAAATATTGCAACAAACTCGAGTCTTACTGTCATTACGTTACCATAATGTCCCTTTATTAGCAAAAAATGTAACAAATTTGCTTTAGAAATGAAAAACAAGTGTTGTAGGATAGGTAGATGTTCATGCATAGATAATATTCCATATATACCTTTTAAAAGACTCAATTTGAATATAATTGGTCAATAATTTGCCCTATTGGAATCTGATTTGTACAAATGTTGCTTCAATATTTCATGAAATGGCTAGTTTGTACTTAATTTTTCTAATCATTTCAATTATAAATGCTTGTATGCAATATCTACATAAATATTTCATGAAATAATCAATTTATATATTAATTGGTCTGTAATTTTGATCATTACAACATGAGTTAAAGGACAAAAGTTCAAAGTTAATTGAAAGTTCATCCTTGCAATTAAATAGTTAGTGAAAAACTACAGTAAATGAAATTAGTTTCGACACATTGACATATCCTTTTCAGGTCACAGTGTCTTCTTTGTTTTGATAACTGATTAGAAGTTATAATTTTAGATAGAGTGAAGCTCTTCAGTCATACAATTTCCTTAATAATAATAATAATACCAGTAAATGTAAAGATCCACTGTCATTTGACCAAATAACACAGCAAGTACCAGTTTTATAAAGCATTACAATTTAATTATATTAAAGATGTTTTGCAATCTGCAGTAGTCATAACAAAACATAAAAATTAGTATTTTAAGATTCATTATAAAATGTTCCAATTAAGATTCAATGACCAATTATACATTGGTATAATCCCCAGGATTTGTGGGCTAGTGTGTCATAGTCTAATTTTTAACCCCCATCCTCTTTGTAACTTCTATTAGTTTTTGCTATTGGGTGTGAATTAGTATGAATACAGGAACACTTATATATATGTTCACCTTTCATTTGTTGGTGGGTTGTGGGTTTGAATATCATCACCAAACATGCTTGACCTTTCAGCTGTGGATGCATTATGATGTAACAGTCAATCCCATTATTTGTTTCCAAAGGATAGTCCAAAAGTTGATGGTAGGTGGTGTTGACTAGCTGCCTTCCCTCTAGTCTTGCACTGCTAAATTAGGGACAGCTAGTGCAGATAGCCCTCCAGTAGTTTTGCATGAAATTCAATAAAACAAACAAACATTTTTGGTAACCTATGTAGATCTCAGGAGAAAAAATAACTATATATTTTGCAACTAATGATGTTACTTTTTATAGTTAATTTCACTAAATCTTACAGGTTATAATATTTCTAATAATCTTTTTGATTAAGTTTTAAAAATTGACATTACTAATCCGGCCAAACCTTGTGAGATACTAAGATTAAGAGTGAAACGGTTGTTAACCCTCTCTCCATGGGCATCTTTTTATGTGCATGTCACAAGGTTTTAGTGAGTTACATTTAAAATTTAATTAAACTACTTTCTTTTCATGGTATACCAATAAATATAGGTTAAAAACGTAGCTAATAATTCATATTTTAATAGTATATAAGTTTTAAGTTCTTTCTTTTATAAGGCAATATTTAAAACAAATCTAGAATTTCTCCTAGTATGAGAATTGTAACATTTGCTCTCTAAGCATCCCCTCTTCTGTAATTTATTTACCACCCCTCCAAGAACTACAAAATTTTATATAAATTACTCATTATAATATTGTCATCACTCAGGCAAAGCATAATTTTCATAGCCTTCAATTTTATTTGGTTACAAAGCTATGAAATAGACAACCAGATTAATTTTGCTATGCTCACCTGTCACATCCTCTCTTTCAGAAATTGCCAATAGTTCTCTTTGACGCTCAAGGCTATAGTATTTATAACTAATAGAAAACCAATATTTTCATCTATCAAATGACATATTATATTACATTGTTTTCTGTAAAGAGAATTGTCAATTTCGCTTTCAGTTCAAGTTTGATTCTCACGGGAAACACATTGATGAGCTTAGATGAAGTTTTAACAGCTCTTTTTGCATAATTAGAAAGCCAATGAAATTATAATAGTTATGGGACATTATCTGCTTTTTGCTCATCATTATTCTCTGTTATTTGGTGCATTATTCAATTAATTAAAAAATTATTTAGTGCAGTACTACCATTAGTATATAAAAAGTAGAGTTTAGAACCAGGTAAGTACATTTTTTCTTTTTTTTTTCTGTGTGTATTTATTATAAAAGTAATTAAAATGTCAAAATATGAATTTTTTTTTATGTTAGTTAAGGTTAGATTAGGTGAAATAATAATAGTATGATAATACTTTTGCAAGGTACATTCACAGGCAGCTTATGCATAACGTAATTTGATAGCATAACATGAGCTGCATGTTTGCTAAGTGATTTACAACTTATAATGGCATGAATAGTATTTAGACAGTGTTCACTGGGCAATAAAACAACAAAATTTAAGTATAAATACATTTATACTGTTATGAGTTTAAAACTATTTAGGATGAATAACTGTAGTTTCATATTACAATTTTAAGTCATTTTAAAATGACAGAAAGGGTAATTTAGATTTATTTTTATCTTTTGGGGGGAGGGGGTTACAAGATCAGTCACATTCGCCAACCTTGTATAAGGCTAGGGAACAATAACAGATAAAATATAAAGTTTTACTAAAAAAAGCGGGTTTGAAATTTATTTAGAAAGTTTTAGAGATTATGCAAATAAAATTTGAGATTTTTGAGACAAAGAAAAGTATTTTCAGTCTTAACGTGGAAATCACTTAGCCCTCGGACTAGTATAGAAAAATACTATATATATTC